TTTTTTTTTTTTTTTTTTTTTTTTTTTCCCAAAACAACTAAGAAGAGGCCGGGGTCCTCACAATTCAACCCGGAGTTATCCCGGCAGCATCAGCTGGTTTAGCTTAAACTCTGCACCCTTAAAGAAGTAAGATAACTAGTTTAACACCGATCCACTACTAAGCACTAAGAAATACCCATCCTATAAAGTCTAGTCCTATGGAAAAAGGAACGTCCAAATATAACCGTTTCATGCCAATATAGGAGCCAACATCTGAAGTATCTCCATTGTTTCATGACAAACCAGGAGCTACCTACACTAGAATTTACCATCCCAAGGAACAGAACACAACATTCTATTTCTACTGTGGCCAAGTTAAAATTATCACATTCTATGGCAGCTAAATGGCTTCGTACGCCTGGTCGCTGCAGCGGTCTCATTTAAGAACAAGCAAAATTCGGTGGCCTAACTGCGGCCTAGCCGAGTAGAAAGGTGTGTCCTTTCTGTCAGGTGTTTTCCTGGATTAGCCAGTCTGCAAATTGCAAGTCCCCTTCCCAGTGGTTGAAACAAAATCCTTAGATTTTCCCCAAGTCTGGGAGAACCAGTACCGACTTGTTTGGGCTTGAGAGCGAGAGAACCAATCAGCTCGGATTGCTTGCCTAATCAGGGTCTTCACTGCAGACACTTGGGCCTGGAAAGTTGTCTTCTCTTACTTGAAGGTTGCTTTGTTCCGCGCCTTCCACAAGACTTCCATAACTGCCCCTTGACAGGCCAGCGCTACATATGCCCAGCTCGTGGAGAAATCCAGACCTGAGGTAGCCAAACCATACAGAGACCACTCCTGAGACCAGGGGAAGGCATCCCCAGCCATCTGTTTCCACCTATCTTTCCACCATTCCCATATCCGAAGCGAGAATCGGCAGTACAGCCAGATATGGGAATCCGTTTTCCAACCCCACTTGCAACTGGCGCATTGTTCCTCTATTTCCAAACCTTTGGATGCCAGCCAGGAGGCTGATGGTATAACAAGCAAGGACAGGTTACCCAAGGTAAGGCCAGGTTCTTTACTTAGTCTTGCTGTTGCTGTGACCACAGGCTGTTTCTTTACCAATGCTTGCAGAAGTCGGGCGCCAACCTTAGTCTTGTATTGGTAGACTGGGACATGAGAAGCTGGATCTGTCCCGTTTTTCCAACCATACAGTAATGGTTCAACTTGAATCCTAGCTATATCATCTGAGACGAGGGTGGCCACCTCCTTGTTACCCTCCCTTTTGAGCCAGACTCTACATTCTAAAGCACCAACCGTTGTAGGGATGGTCTTTTCTCCTGCCATACTCAACGGGAGGGGCAGTGCAGATCTATTTAATGCTTTCTTTTCCCAGATCTGAGCTTTAACCCCCCGTGATAATTATGGGCCTATGACTCTCAGAACCAAGCTACTGTCAGTAGGGTCCAGGATCCACGCCCCCTGAATGTGTTCAGCCATATGGGGAAACATAGATGTCCAATACGCAGGGATGCTATTCTTGATCAACACATAGTTATTTTCGATATTCCTCAGACGTAGCAGCCTCTTTTTCAACTCTCCCAATGGGAGCCATGTATCTGTCTCTATATCCCATATATCTTTAACGTGAATAATTCCCTTCTCTACCCAAGCCTTTCCGAAAGTGCTGGTACTCCCATCAGCCTTCAGCAACGACCCGTCCTCTGTAACTATCAGTGGGTTTTCAAAGATAATATGATTGAGAATCTCCCCTCTTGTCTGGGGGGGGCGAAGTATCTCTGGAAACAGCTTATGCCATGCAGTCAAAATGTTGCTCCATAGTCTAGATTTCGGTCGTCTGACTGAGAAAGAAGAGATGAAAAAGCAAACCCAGACGTCCGAGTCTCTGGCCAGATCCCATTCCTTAGCTAGAATATAGTCAGCCAGTCTTACCGAGAGTTTTGAACGCAACCCGAAGGTTGCTGAGATAACCCATTTACACAGTAGCGCCACATTTTGATGGACTTTCCAGATGAAGCCCTGCTGTTGAGTTGCTGTCGGCTTCCAAAGGTAGCGGGCGGCATCCTTCTTGATGCGGGCATAGGCCCCATCACCCAGCAGGTGAACTGAGAGGGGAAACCACAGTATAGAGAAAGCCACCGAAGTGAGCACCAATGCACGTCCAAAAAGTGACAATTTGAAGTTCCGGGCCCAGCCCGTGATTCTGGCCGATACTTTGTCTGCAAGGATGGAATCTTGGGTTGCCGAGCAATCTGATAATGCAACCTGAACTCCCAGAAA